TTCACAATTGCTCCAAAAAAAACTTTCTTTACTCGAGTTCCCAGGACTGAGGGCAAGGCTGCATAAACCAACCAGAGGAGGGCGTTGCTGCCCCAGCTAGTGGGACCCAAACCGCTAAGTTTTCACAACAAAGTTGGGGCTGTGTGTGTGTGTGTGTGTGTGTGTGTGTGTGTGTGTGTGATGAGGTGGAAAGCGAGAGAAGGAAGGAAGAATTTTGACATCGAGTCTCGGTAATCACTTACTCAACTCAGTAACTGGAATTCTTTAAGGGGGAATCAGCCTGGGGGTCACAACCTTGACCTGGCCTTGGCCCCTTTGCTTTCTCCACTGGTGACCTCTGGGATTTTCAGAACCCTCTCCTGGAGTACAAGCTAGTCTGCTTTGGGGAATGGGGTAACATGCACGTGGAGGGGGGGGGAGTGGTTGCTGAAGGCGAATGAGAGATACCCTTGGTGGCCCTGCTCCCATGCTTGGGCATATTTCTATACACCCCGACCTCACATTCCTACCACCACTCGAGGCTGCTCGGGTGTGAGCCCGATGCAGACCAGCCAGCCTCGGTTTGCAATTGCTAAAGTCTTCCAAATGGGATGTCGGAAACTTCTATTTATAAGTGGCTTGGGGGGGGAGGGCGGGGAGGAGAGGGGAGGGGAGCAAACCTTTCTCGTCTGCACAGAGCCGCTGGCTATTTTGGCCAAAGGCCTCAGTCGCCGGGGCCTTTTGCTAAGGGGTCGATCCCTAGCACCTTTCAGCCCCTCTCCCCTTCTTCCTTCTCCTCCAATCCCTTCGGGGAGCTGGCAGGCTGGGGTCGCCCCTCCCCAGAGCCCGGGGCCGCCGCCAGGAGCACCGCAAGCGAGGCTGCGGATCCACGATCCTGGCTCTCCGTGCCAAGGGCCCTGCTCGGAAACCCGGAGCAGCACAAGGAAGGCGGCCCGGCTGGTGCAGGCCAAACCCGGACGACCGGCCGGTCCTATGCTCAGCCTCCCTCTCCACATCTGGGAAGAGGGCTTTCTTCCAACCCCCCTCTGTGATGAGAAGCTGGGGGGAGCCAGGGGTGTCTCTCCTTCAGCGCTCTGAAACCTATGTCTAAACTGGCCTTTTCCTCCTTCCTTCCCTCTGCCTCTCGCCGGCCTGCCCGCCCCACTTTTCAGGCGGCGTAAGAGAGCTTGTTTACATTAACAAAAAACAAAAAAAAAAAAAAGGCAAAACATTTTCTTTCTCGTTACTAGGAATCCACAGCGAGTTTCCCTGCCCGGGACCAGAAACTAATTGAAAAATCCATAAAAGATTAAATCTGCTTCCTCGGGATGGGGGGGTGGGGGGGTGGAGAAGGAGGAGGAGGAGGAGGGTGTGCGAAACTGACGGGAGAAGGCAGGGAGCTGCTCCCTCTCACGCGCGCCGCCGCCGCCGCCGCCGCCCAAACACACAGACAGCGAGCGCCACGGGCTTGCGGAGGGGAGGGGGTCGGCCCCAGCTCCCAGCCTGCCTCCCCTCTTTTGCCGTATGAGGGGAAGAGCCCCGAGATTTTCTTAAGCGGCTGAGAGAGGACAGCGGCACTACCTCTGATCTACTTTTCGCAATCTTAGTTCCATTTTGCAGCAACTGCTGGGATAACGACGAGTGAAGCCTGCACACCAGAAGCCAGATTTCCCCACGTTTCCCAGACTAGAGACTGGGCGAGTTTGCGTTGTTCAGGTCCAGAAAGACTGACAGACAGACATAGAGGAGGGAGAGAGAGAGAGAGAGAGAGAGAGAGAGAGACAGAGAGACAGAGAGAGAGAGAGACAGAGAGAGAGAGA